TATAATATATATATATTTTGTTTTTGCTTGTGTCACTGGACAAATGGATGATTAGAACATTTGCTCAGTCACACAGTTATTAAATAGGTCTGATTTCAAAGTTCATGTCTTTAATTGTAATACTATATTAATATTAATGTTAATCTTATGAAGTAGGTTTTATATTCAAAATTACAATGTCCAATTTTAAAACATAAAGAGCCCATCAAGAGTGCTAATATTGCTAAGGATGTGAAAGAAACAATGATCACAGGCAACTGAGGATGTAGAAAAACTGTGTTGATTTGGATAAAAGAAAAGCAGTTAGCCAGTGACAGCATTTCGGAGGCAGTGATGTGTGAAAAAGCGAAGCTGCTGCATGCTATGCTGACTTCCTGAAAGACACCCTGGAATGAGTGCTGAAAGTGACTAGTTTAAGGCTAGTAGGGGTGGTTCAATAAATTTAAGAAAAAAAGTGTTTGTTTATAGATTAAACAGTACATTAGACATGTACTGTATCTAAGAAAGGTTAAAACAGGGAATCATTTGGGGATCTGGAACAAATTAATCCAATTTACATTATTTCTAAGGGGAAAAATGATTCCATTTTTGAACAAACTCTTCTCAAACAGCCTTCTGGACTGAATTAAGTTAGAGAACCGAGTTTCCACTGTATATCTTGCTAACATTAATTTTAAAAGAGAAAGCATGCGTGCCTATGTGAATATTAGATATTGGGGACTTCAGAGTAAAGAAAATTTCTAGGGCAAAAGAGGAACATTACATAATAAAAGGATAAATTCACCAAGAAGAGATAGCATGTGAATTCTGTATGTACCAAACAATAGAGTTTCTAAATATATGAAGAAAAAATTATGGAAATAAAGAAGAAATAGAAAAATCCACAATTGTAGTTGGGTATTTCAATATCGCATTGTTAGCATCTGAAAAAACTACCAGGTGAAAAATAGCAAAAATATAGAAGAACTGAACCACCAGGATCAAACTCATGTCTACAGAACACTCTACCAAACTATGGCAAAATAGAAATACTTTTCAAGCATCTATGAAACATTCACCTAGCTGAAACATATCCAGGATCACAAAACAAACTTCTACATAACTCACTCCGATCATAATGGAATCAAACTAAACATAAGTAACAGAAAGACAACAGGAAAACCTTCAAACAGTTGGAAATTAATACACTTATAAATTATTCATGGGTCTACAGAAAATCTCAAACAAAATTAAAAAACAATAACAACACAGAACTGAATGAAAATACAACAAGTCAAAATTTGTGGGACACAGCTAAAACAGGAAATATATGGCACTAAATGCATACATAAGAAGAGGAAAAGACTCAAATAAATAATCTGAGCTCCCACCTCAAGAACCTAGTAAAAGAAGAGCAAGATAATTCAAAAGCAAGCAAAAGCAAGGAAATAATAAAAATAGTATCAGGAAACAATAAAATTGAAAACAGGGAAATAGAGAAATCAATGAAACCGATACCTTGTTCTTTAAAAAAAAAAAAATCAGTAAAATTGATAAATCTCTATCAGGTACTATAAAGAAGAATGCAGAGAAGGCACCAATCACCAATATTAGGAATGAAAAGGGGATTATTATTATAAATCCTGAACTCATTAAAGGAATAGTTAAGGAACACTACAAACAACTTTATACTCACAAATTCAACAATGTGAATTGCCAAAACTCAACCCTCCAAAAAAAAAAGAAAAAGAAAGATAACAGTCTTATAACTATTAAAGAGAAGGAATGTGTCATTTAAAAGCTCTCAAAAAAGAAATCCTTAAGCCCAGATGACTTCACTTGAGAATTTTATCAAATGTTTAAAGAAAAATTAACACCAATTTTATATAATCTCTTTCACAAAGTAGAAGGGATACTTCCTAATTCATTTTATGAAGCCAGTATTACCTTGTTATCAAAAACAAAGATATGACCAAAAAACAAACAAACAAAAAAGAGAGAGAGAGAGGAAGGAGAGGAAACAATTTGAACCAATACTTCTCATGAATTTAGAGGTAAAAACTTTTTTTTCCTCTCAAATATGTCTTTATCGATTTCAGAGAGAGGAAGGGAGAGGGAGAGAAATATCAATGATGAAAGAGAGTCATTGATTGGCTGCCTCCCACACACCCCCTGGTGGGGGGTTGAGCCCGAAACCTGGGCATGTGCCCTGACCGGGAATCGAACATCGATCTCCCAGATCATAGGTCGATGCTCAACCGCTCAGCCACACCAGCAGGGTGAGGCAAAATTTTTTTTTAAAAAATTAGCAAATAAATCCAACAATGTATAAAATGATTTATACACCAAGATCAAGTGGGATTTATTTCATACTTGTGAAAATCAATGTAATCCACTGCATAAACAGGTTAAAGAAAAATCATATGCTCCAATATTCATTCTCATAAAAACTCTCACCCCACTTTATCTCATCACACAGGCATTATATCACCTCACATCACAAGAAGAGTGAATATAGTACAATAAGTTATTTTGAGAGAGAGAGACCACATTCACATAATTACAATATATTGTTATACTTGTCCTATTTTATTAGTTATTGTTGTTAATCTTTTACCATGCCCAATTTATAAATTAAACTTCATCACAGATGTGTATGTATAGGAAAAAATACAATATACATGGGTACAGTACTATCTGTGGTTGCAGGCGTCCACTGGGGGTGTCTTGCAATGTATCCCCACAGATAAGCAGGGGACTATCGTATCATTGAAATTAGGAAAGTAGGGGAGGGACAAAAAACAGAGGACAAATTAAAATTGGTTTAGGGAATAGTTTAGATCTTCCATGTCCCATCTTCCACCTGCACCACTAGATGACCATACCATGCATTCCCAAAGAAGATGGGCAGTTTACTTTTTGGAGAAATTAAAATGGAAAAATAAGTCATTGAATTGATCAAAGAGGAATTAAGTAAAAGCCTGTATACTGAATGCTCTTCTATCCCTTTCCCCCACACAGTTCTCAGGGCACAGCCAAGGGCTGCCTATAGCTTCAAATCAGGTGGTTGGCAGATTTCTCACTGGAGAGACTCAATGAAAAGAACTATAAATATGGAGTTCTGATGATTCCCAAATTGGCTCCTTCCAAATTCCTCTGAAATGAAGTCTACCAGTTGACAAGTCCCACCTAAGCACACA